TGCGGGCCACAACATTCTGAGTCCACGTCGACATCTCGGAGAAATGGGGAGGTCCAACCCTGTCGATTCAATTCACCAGGTGTCAGACTAGGCCATTCGGAAAATGCCCGTCGTCGTCTGGGTTGCATCACCTAGCTTCATTGCCGTCGATAAAATTCCTTCGTTTGGTGCCCACTAACCTCAACAGCTTTCCTGCATCGGTGGGCATCTCCGAGCGCACCCAGACCTGGTATTACCCTGGTCTAGTGCAGCTGTCATGCCTCCACTCATGTAGCTTAGGCAGAACCGACCGTTCTAGGCAGGTGTGACCCTCACTTCACTGTCCGGAATCACAGGGTATACTATCATCTGGCAGCATCAGAGGCCTAGATCAACATCAGGTAAGCTCGAGTATTTCCTCCGTACTTCATTCTTGTTGCCAGGCATGTCTGGATTTCTGTCTACATTGCCGAACATCACCGGGATGTGAGAGACAAGCCTGTAGCCAATCATCCACCCGCAGAAGGGAAATCCTACCCATCCTGGTAAGAGGCGATCGCAACTGGCGTGACATGAATCACTCCCTCTTCCCCCTCATTTCCCATACTATCGACATCCTGTCACTGACCCTGCCCTTGTCGAGATCGTGCCAGTCATCGTCTCCCATCGAAAACTCTTTCCCGATACTAGCTGAAACGTCGGAATCCTGTCACGCTTTCTCGCTGCACATTAAGCCTATCAGCATGACAATGCCTTGCCCAATAAGGCCCACTTTCCTTGACCTCGGCCACACAACAGAGCAGTGGAGCCGGACGCACAAGTCTTCAAAATAGGTTTACCTTGGCAGAAAAAAAATAGATTGAATCCACGGGGGAAAGTTCTCGATACTGCAGAGCCAGAGAAATCGGTGGAAGGGTTGGCCATGTTGAGCTGCACTTGCGACAGACTGCCGCGCATGGTCTAGCAGTGAAGCGTAGCAATAAGGATCATAGATTGGTGGCCATTCAGGCTGTCCTTGCTAAGGATCGACGGCAACGTTGTGAAGGTCTCTTGCCCTTCAGGCTTCTTTTACAAAGCACAGACGTGCCGGGCAGTCATGGACTAGCCTTCTGCGGGTTGTGACTGACTACAACACAACTACTCGATCATCCGAGCTACCTCTTTGCTGTAAGGTTGCTGGTAGTTTGGGCAAAACCGGTATGAAGGTATCTTGTCAGCTTGTGCGGCGCAAAGCCCCGAGCTCCGAGCCAGCGTCCTTTATGCGGCAGGAATGGACCAAAACCACACTGCCTATGAAACCCCAGGTCCATTAATAATAGCCGGAAGAATACCGGCTGATGGAAAATTATCGCTTCGAGTTTCGGTCATAATATTTCTGCAAATGTCAACGGTGTTATACAAATATGAGAAACGAAGCTTAAATGCCATCCACGACATAGTATACTGAGCTCCCGAACATTCACCACCGAATACCACACTGTTGCCCACTCTCCGCACCCTCCTCCATTATCAGAACGATGCCAGGCGAGGCTGCATAACATCCACAGCGACGCTGGCTTCTCTCGCTGGAGGATGAGTTGTTTGGAGGAAGAATGATCAGTATGATCAGCCGACACCACACAAATCTTGCAGGATCCCGTGAATTAGCCTTGTTAGAGCATTCCTTCGTCACACTGGATCAGTAAGCGGGAATTCTAGTCTATGCGACCGTGGGAACCGTCCAGGCTCAAAACCCTGTTTAGACGTCATACCCAAGCAACCGCCCATATCATAATGAGGCATGAAATCATCTTCCACCCAGCCTGAGCAAGCTGGGGAATCCCCACGATGCATCGCGAATCCCTGGCGGTCGGAATTTGTTTGCGCTGGACACGTCGCCTCCCAAGCGCTGCCACAATGCCACATGACGTCATGCGCGATCGGCTTACCGCCAGTGCCTTTCCGCTTCGGGAAGTCCTGTTGCCATCCGCAAAGTGCAGGGTGCCTCGCTGATTCTGGTTTCCACGCCGGTTTTTACGCTGCTGTCGGATACATTCTGTTAGGACTTTGACTACATACGACTACGTACTAAATTTGTTTATTAGGGCAAGGACTGGGAGCGCGCTCTATCGACGGCACTTACCGTGGGCCTTTTGACCCGAACGGAAACGGATGAGGTTGATTGGATAGTTTGTAGAGAAGGACGACCGGGAGAATCATCATATCATCATTGACCTCCAAAAAGGGACATCACTATCAACTTTCGCCAGCATAGGTCAAGCCCATATGCTCTGGACACTAACAGGTCTTAAGCTAACCCTGTACACAATCTCCCATCCTTACTAGACACTCAGATGTTCATCGATGGCTTCAGTCTAAGCCCGGGGGGTCAGTTGAACCATCAATCGATTTTTTTGCCACAGCGTCCACGTATTCTGCTTGTCCCAGCCGACTGATTCAGGTGCCAGGTTTAGATCATAGTGGTATAGGACCTTGGCTAGGATGAGTCGCATCTCATGATAGGCGAGACTAGTTCAGATGTTAGACATGCTCACTAGAGCATTGACACCATGGCTAGGGGAACTCACTTCTTCCCCAGACAGTTGCGAGGGCCGAAAGAGAAGGGCTGGAAAGCAGCCTTGTCGTCGCCAGCAAACTGCGGGTCGTTACCCCATCGCTCCGGAAGAAAGTCGTCTGGCCGGGTGAAGTTTCGTGGGTTGCGATATGTCGCCCAGTGGTGTACGGAGACAGCCGTCTGAATGTACATGTTAGTCCAAGGCCGTACTTGCAAATAAACCAGATAAGCTGAGTAGCGCTGCTCACATTGCCAGGCATATATTCGCCGCAGATCTCCATACCCTCCTTCGGAGTGAGACGGGGCATCCCGGTAGGGACAGGGGGATACATCCGAAGGCCCTCGTCGATACACATGTTCAGGTACTTCAACTGTGCTAACCGCAGCATATCGATGTCCGAATCTCGCTCAAAGGCGTCTCGAATCTCCTTGGTGATTTTCTCCATTTTGTCAGGATTCAGCAACAATTGATACGTGAGGCCGCTCAACGCCGTTGCGGTGGTTTCCGTCCCAGCTACCATGAACAGTTGTGAGTTGGCGTACATTTCTTCACGGCTCAAGCGCAGGGACTCTTTCTGCGACATGACCAGGCCCCAAATGTCGGGGCGATCCAGGCTCTGGTCAACCCGCCAGTCTACCCTGTCCTTGCATGACTGGTAATGAGACGCTTGTCGTTTTTTCAAGGACCGAGGGAGAAGAGAGTTTAAGAAATAAGAACACCATGGATAGTATCGTGCGACACGTCGGAGTGAATTGATCTTTACACTGGAGAAGATCGATGTCACCCACCCCACGTTGCCGGTACCTTTCAGCAGATTCAGTGGGTCTCCGAATGTCAAGTCCCCCATAATGTCGAATGTGGTCAGATTGTACATTAAAACCATTTCGATCTTGGCCTTGGGATCTGCTTGGACAACTTCTCGGAGTTTCTCGATGAGCAAGTCCGCATAATGAGCGATGAGTGGCTGCTGCTCGCGCAAAGCCTTGTCCGAGAAAGCATGTGAAAAATTTCGACGAAAGCGTGAATGATCAGCAGCTTTGGCACGAATGACGTCCGGAGTTCTATTAAGTGTGGTGCCGAAGAACCGCATGTCCTTTTCAGTGGATTTCTTTGTTGCACTGGCATGGCCGTAGATATCTCTCCATCCGTCGGCACACGAGTAGCTGACTTGATCGGGCGAGATCCGGACAGTGTCTCCGTAGGCCAGATGCAGGTTTCTCACCCAAACATGCTCATCGCCCATAAGGGAGTGATACATATGCACCAGACGGGTAATCGCCGCCAGCTTCGGACCGGCGATCTTATGCAGAGGGTTGATGTACAACTCGTAAAAACATTTTCCTACCAAGGAGAGAACTAACTGTGGTAATCCAAGACACGTGTTAGCAACCGTCAACCCCTTACGTCTGGATGGGTTGCACTGACTATACCAGCGGTTACTGTTAGATAATGCCCCTGGAGGGCTCCTTGAATACTTTCGTGAATCATGCTGGGGTTCGGAAATGACAATAACCGACAATCAAACGGTCTGAGAAAAAGCGCTGGTTGGTATCGAATGCACACCGCCGTGACGGGGCTAGGGATGCTATTTATCTCCTTCACTCTGATAAAGGAGTCGCCTGACGTTGCAACAGCCGGACTAATTATGTCGAGGCAAAGCTGCACAAGGCCAGCCAATGTTTTATAAAGCCAGCACACGACCCGCTGGCGACCAGCTAAGCTGCATGAAGGGATTACCAGGAAAAGGCCTCGGCCCATCCCCCATACATCACTCCGATGCAAGTGATGCTCGGCTCTTGAGCTCCGATGTTCCGATGAGGGATAGTTACAACGTGTTATCTTCGAAGCCTTGATATGTGTTTTAGTTTCGTGAGCGTAATTCGAGCTATACCGGCCGAGCGGGGAAACATCAAAGTGGAGTTCTGCTGCGGCACATCGAGACTTCGAAAGAGGGGTCATGTCGATCGCCGACCTTCTCGGAGCGAATAGCAGGATAAGTATTAGCGTTATGCCATTGTGTCAGGACATTTGGGTTTTGCATAACTATCCAGCCGCTCCATTAACCGGCTATGGTCTGGGGCCAGATGGAAGTCTGAACTCAGAGCAAGGGTGCATTGGAATACGTGTATAAACCTTGTCACATGTCGCAGGTTATGCTAATTGGCCTGTGCACAACGCCGCGTCAACGGTCTCTGCAGTCGGTATAACTAACAGGCAAGGAAATGGTCTGCGCTCGTGCCGTTTCATCCGGCTCTGGTGATTCAAAACCAAAGTGCAGATGCAGTGTTACCCTCACAGGGATGCCCTGCGGCAATGGTGAAATTCATCGATATGAATGGCATTGTCTTTTATCCAATTACGAGCTATGTTCAGAAGCCCTGCCGATCATCTCCAAACTAAAATCCAGCCAATTCTAGCACGAACAGTAACGTCTTTGGTCCTACCTTGTTGTACCTGATATCTCCAATGTTCTACGAACACATTGTCTACCTGAACAGCCACTCGGATTGTCGGGTCAGACTGCGAACGCATAAGACTGCCACATATACACTCACCCACGTCATCTCAGCAGCCAAGCGACGTAGGATCGATTACCTCTATCTAGTGCTTGGTGGATGGTAAGCAAGCACTATGATTTATGACGACGGAGTTCGTTGGCTGAGCCTGCAGCAGCAATGACATTCCTTCCGTCGAGCCGAAAATGACCTATCGCCGGCGACGGTCGGCCCGGAGGATCAACTAAGCCAGCTATGCTACGCTACGCCATCCTTTCAAGGGCCGAGTCGATCTTCGGTGTTCGGGAAGGATCAGGAACATATATCTTCTAAGTTCTATAGTATGAACCAGTGGGTCAGGATGTGCGGGTTTGCTACTCGAACAGTACGGATGCGCGTGAGGTGTTTGTCATTCTGTTCATTTACGTTTTTAAGAGTCTTGTCTGCTTGCATTCTGCCAGGCACAAAGGACTAACATACGACCGAATTAAGTCTATATTACTACGTGGTTGAGACTCGAAGCACCTCGTTGGCTACCTCGCCATCGAGTAGAAATTCCCTCAAGCCTTGTTCGGATGGATTCCACAAACACCCACACTGCCAGCATATGAGATCTCCACTTTATCGTCATAGACAAATTTGTCTCCATCACAAGAACCATGTCATTGTGCAGGCAACCAGGTTATTTCAATCTATTAGAATGCAAGTTCTGTGATAGACATGGTATTTTGCCTTGTGGTCGGAAATCCCGGGCCTTCCTATTCGGGATCGGATGTTGGTTTCTTATCCCGAGCAGGGGCGATTGCTTCTCTGAGATCATCGACTATTCCTCATGAACCATGACTTTCTTCATTTGATTTCTCTCACTGATATATGATTTCATTCTTTCAATACTGGGAAGTGTGCCTTGCGAGCCTTGCTGACTTGCATTAAAAAGGGGGAGAGATTATCATATTAAAGATCTTCAAGACTATCACGCAGCCGTATATCTATCCAAAAGCTCGCTCACTATTCCTTCCATATCTTCTTCCTCCTCACTTGTCTCCACTGCATGTATGGTGGTTGAGGGCAAAGGAGGAAGGGACTCAACGACAGCCGAAGAAATGGAAGGAGAGCGGCTGGCTCGAGGCGAAATTTCATACAGACCTGCGAGAGGTCTCGAGGGGCTAAAACTAAACCGACTCTCTTGGGCCTGGAGCACGGAACTGGCATGGGTAACAACGGCCTCAGGAGGGTAAGGGGGGTTTTCCTCTTCCGAACCTTGAATTTGTGAAGTGCGCTCGACATTTTCTTCCACCCCCCTTCCATAATACCTCCTTCCACGCCGTCCATGCCGCGCAGGCCCTCCAAGCCCTCCAGCCAATACAAATGACACATCCGCTGCCATTGCTTCACCCGCTGCGGCTCCTGCAACCCCTGTCCCCAGCATAGGATCGGAAGAATTATTAGGAGCGTTTATCTTATGTCTGGGATCAATAGGTCTCAACAGTCTTTTGATATGGAGCCAAAGCCTGGGACGTCTGTATTTCTTTTGGTCGTTAACCTCAAGCTCCGTTCGATTGCTGCCAAGCTGCGTTATAGACCTCTCATTCACTAGTCTCCGCGTGTGTGCTAATAATTCCCCTTCAAAATGGTTGAACATAGCTTTATTGACAAGCATATAGTTATAATCACTCTAGTTCCATCATTAGAATTATATTGCTGAATTATGGGAGTTCATCAAGTTTATACATACCTCATTCCACGTCCAGGGTAAACAGAATGCGTTAAGACTCTCGGGGAAAATACTGTGGCGATTTACCTACGACGTCAAGTCAGCGTTATCCTGGAAATGAGGCCATATTGTTATTTGGAGAAAATTACACTGAAGTCGATTGCAATATTCTGCTGATCTTTCAAGACCTCAGACTTCGGTTCTCTTCGTTTAACAGTTGTAGATGGGTGCTTGAGTTTCACGATGAATGTGATACTTCTTGCTCGGATATCATCGAATCCGTCAACAGGTAAGAGATCGCCGACATGTATCCATTCGATTGCGTCGGTGCCCGTGATGTTGTCATGGTCACCATCAAGATTGAGTTCATCTAGTGCCTGTTGTTCATCGGCCGATAGAGCAAGAAGCTGATTGAGTACTGTACTATTCGATGACTTCTTCCACTGATCTATCTGGGAGTCAATATCCTGGCGTGGGATCTTCACACGCCGGACTCGGTACTGCACGTGGTGCTTCCCATGCGCTATCTGAAGCTTGGTTGTTAATAAGTATACGCCGAGTGGCGCATCCGTGGCTAAGCTGATTGATGCCATAGATGATCTGTTGATATATTCAGAAGAGTAGTAGAGAGAGTGAAGGTCACACCCAGATCCCTCGTTGACCGGACCAGTTCTGATTGGATTACCGGTATCGCCATCTGCAGCTAGTGCTTTGTCTGCATCCCTTGGCTCGGTACGTGCAGAGCAGAAAGCATTATCTCTATGAGGCTGGCAGTCCAAATTCTTGACTTCAATGGCTGAGATTCTATCCATAGAGTTAGTTATATCTGGTGGAATAGCTCTGGATAAGGATAAGGATAAACGCACTGTGGCAGTCCCTGACTAGCATGGTTTCCCGGACTGGAGGTCGTCGCGTAGTGGTGATCTCCGCAGGTTGGAAGTTCTCATCGACGTTGTCCCTCTCGGTCACACTAGCGGCTCGATTTCCAGCCCAAGTATCATCTTGTTGTTTCGCGATGTCAATTCGAGCTCTCTCCGCAGCTACGATTGATCTTTTCAGCAAATACTGATCTTCTTGGGAATATGCGATCAGGCTTGTTCTTGTGGCATGTCTATTCCGTTCATCAGACATTAGACAAATCTAGCATAAGTACTAAGCCAGACTTACCCTTCCATGACCTTCTTCGAGTAGCGTAGCATCGCAACTTGAAGCATGAGCATCAGAGTCCCCTTTGCATTGCGTAGTTCTGCCCTCATGGCATCCATTTGCGGCTTGACAAACGGCCATTTCACCATTTCCGCTGGACTAAGTCTGATGGGATCCTTGCTATGAGGATTTGCCCTCAGCTGCTTACTCGCCTTCCTCAGTCCTTCTTCGAGCCTTTCGAAGATAGCGTTACATTTTGAAGCGAGATTCATGACGATCGCAAAGCCGGCTGCGTTGAATATTCCGTTCTGTGGCTCATGGCCTTCCGTATCGCTATAATCAATGGCCTCAGGATTGACCGTCCGTGCTTTTCCATTGCTGATGCTGTTGTTGGTGTTGGTATCGGTTGCTGCTTGTGTGTGAAATAGTGCCTTGTCAGCTAGTCCACCCAACTGCTGCAAAATACTAGCATTAACTGAGATATCCTCAGCAATATTTGTGATCTCATCCGGGGCGGACTTGATTTGGTCCGCAAACGTAAGTAGCTTGATGGAGCATTGAATCCCGGTTGTTGCAATCCCGATGATTGCTGATGCGGATCCAACAGCCTCCATTGATTTGGGCTGTCTGAGCACGGTAAGTGCTGCTGGAGAATAGAAACTATGTTATTGCGGAAGAGAGTCTTCGGACTGAGCGAGCGTTGAAGGAAAGGGATATTCCTGCACTGAAGAGGAAATAATCAGCCGCGTGGAGGCTATGCTGCCCCGCCCACTACACTTTGCAGCCTAATCAATACCTTATCACAAGATTTCAACTAGGCCGAGTCGAACTAGGGACTGAGGGTCGGCCTCCACCCATGTGAGGAGATAATGTCGGAGTGTTTGACGTTAAAATTGATCGAGGCTCCCTGACGTGGAGCCTGAACCTTCGCCGTTGCTGAGCGCGACCTCGATGCGTGGCCGCGTTTGAGTCTAGGGCGATATCGGAAAAGCAGGGATGCACATAGAAAGAAAAGCAGCAGGAGTAGCAGAAGATACTGAGTGAGATGGGAATCGAGCTGGGTACTAATAAGACTGGGCGTCATAAAGAAGTCCTCCAGCCGTAGCCGATATTCTCCCGTCGTAAGGAAGGTGCTGCTCGGATTAAGTGCGACCACCAGCAGCCGTGTATGGCTGTGTTGGCATGAGACATCCGAGACTGGTGAGGCAGGCTGTAAGCGCTAGAAAACTGTTTCTGTTTAGTCCATCTGCAAGGCTGCACAAGTCGGGATGTAAAAGGCTTTCATTGGATGGGGAGCTGAGATATCCCTAATAGCTGGGTGCCCGGTAGCCGCTCGCAAGGCTGGGCTCGCCCTCCTGTTCACATCTTGATAATGTTGGTCACACAAACTCGTCGAAAAGCTGTCTCTATCTTTGTCTTCGCTTATCGACTATAATACTCAACTAACTTAAAGGACTACAAGCTCTTTCGTCCACGAAGAACCATCTAGTATACATTCAACAACCTATCTCTCAGCGCAGTATTATGAACCATCATCACCCCAATATTTACAGGCCAAAAAAAAACCTCCCCTAAGCATGATCAATAGGCGACGGTCCCGCATCAATCGGATAGGTAAAAATATAGTTGGGCCCATCAGCCATCAGTCCATCACCACCAGGCCTCATCTGCGAAGCAGGCAACCAAAGCTTCTTATCAGCGGTAACCCACATAAGATCAGTCCAAAGCAGCTTCTCATCCTGGATAAGCACAGTCGCGCGTCCCTCAGGCGTGACCTTCCAGATAGCCAGCAAGTTAGTATCACTAACATAGATGTTTCCATCCCCGTCGATAGTACTACCACCAGTGCTAGGCGTCAGGGCAAAAGGCTCCGCGTAATTTCCCATAGTCGATGCGAGAGTCACATTCTTGAGAGACGCATCAACGTACGCCGTCTTAATACGATACAAGCCTCCATTACAGGGCTGGTAGTACAGGTAGATGCCGTCGGGCGAGACTTCGATTTGGTCGAGTCCAACGGAGAGGGTGCTACCTGCGGCGCCGTAGCCGGGGACCAGAGTGCCATTGTACATCATAGGGAACCAGGGTTGGGCGGAAGAATCGGTGGACAGAACACGCACACCCGTGCCGGTAGTCATGTTCATGACGAGTAGGGCACCGGCAGTGTCACTCATGTAGGCCACATCACCAGCGGCGTTGAAGCGGACGTCGTCAATGCCGCTGTCGGATGCTTTCATGGCGTCAAGGTAGTAGAGCTTGTCCACGGCGTCGGTGGTGAGGTTCACGCCAACGAGCTTGGTGGAGCCGTTGACGCCAGTAGATCCGCCGTCGACAATCCAGTAGCGACCATCGGGGCCCATGCGGGCGCCGTCAATGCTGACGAAGGTCTTGCGTGGGTCGGAGGTAGGATCACTCGAGTTATAGGAGTTCCAGGCCGTGTTTGGGTAAAGGACCGTGGAGTTGTCGTCCAGGAGCTCGACAATTTGAGGGGGCAGTGTGGTGGAGTAACGCTGGGAAAGGAATTTACGGCCATCAGCGGAGATACTGATGCCCTGGGTGGCGCGCTCAAGGGAGTATGCGAGCTCGAGGCCTGGGGTACTCGTGGTTGCGGCAGCCAGGGGGGCTGTGAGGCCAAGGAGGCCGAGGAAGAGGGCGGCGGACATTGTGGTCTCAAGTTGAGATAGAAAATGGTTTGAAGACTCTGCCTGGTTTCTGTGACTCCGACCATGATTCTCTGTAGCTTTATAGTAACCAGATCGGCCCAGGAGACAGAAGAAAGGAAACTATCTCCGCCCTGCCAAGCAACGCCAAGAGGATGCGGAATCAAAGCCAAGCACAGCCAAGCTCAAACAAGCTTAGCCTCCGCAATCTTCAGCGTTCCACTCCTTGATTGATAGCCGGATGAGCATGATATGATGGTAGTGGGGTGTGGAAGGATCCCTTAATTGGGCGCTAGGCGTTTAGGAAGGTCAGAAGCCGGACGAGATGCAGGTACGAGACGTTTTAATCATCACTAAGTTGATGCGTCGTCTCCACTGCTTGCGTGGTCTGATTTTGCGATAGTATTGTAGATCCATGGGTGCCTACGGGACCGAGAATTAAGATTTCGTGACTTATCTTGAAGGGAAGTGATATGCACCGATCGGACCGAGAATAGGATTTGTAAGTCACTGTCTCAGTTGAAAGCAACTTCCAAGCGTCGGTGGAAACAATAACCAGGCTTCTACTGGTCATTATCTCCGAGGATTCGGTCATAGTGACCTGATTTGGAGGACCACCAGTTCATTAAAATGTTAATCTAGATACTCAGCCAGTAGAGCTGGGAGATGATAAAATTATAAGTACGCCTACTGATGGCAACTTGACAGATGACATTGCGTTGAGCTGGTACTAGCAGATTATATATATTTGCTGTACTCATCAGACGAACTTGCTTATGCCACAAAATCAACCTTATCTATCACCAAATGGTTTATGACACACTGGCATAGCTTGAAAGAAAGTCATCCTGTATTCTGTATCTGAGACTAATGTGAAAGTAAACTGACAAAGATAGTCTGTTGCTAAAGTTGAGCAATGCGCTGGGCGAATTGCCTTGAAAACTGCCTCATTGTGGAAAATAAAAATATCTCGTAGAAGTGACATAATGCCACCAAAGAACGACGTAAATGTGACAGAAGCAGAGTCATGTTACTACCACTTTGCGTCTTCGAAAGAACTGACCTACCTTCATATAGTAAGTACTACAGTCTATTACCCTTGAAAGCGAACTTACTGTCCAAATTTCCACCATGGCGACTCCACCAGAACCATTCGAGACGACGGACATCCAAGCCAGACCGGACTCACCACCAACACCACTACTCACCCTTTCAGACCTCAAAGGATCATCCATATCCCCCACTTTTTGGTACCGAGTCCACGTCCTCGTTTTCGACTTGAAGAACTTCAATAACGACTCGTCCAAGAAGCGTTTGGATAAAGTCACGGACCCGTCTTACATCGGCAAACCATATTTCTCCCCAGAAGAAGCCGAAAAGATGAAGAACATTGTTACAGATACCAGCGGAAAGACATTCTCAGAAACGCTAGAGGAAGGCTTAAATGAACGACTGGAAAGACGGAAAAAGAAGCGTGTTCAGAGTGGCGACTTCCGAGTCTGCGCGGCACACGATCTTGCTCCACTCATAGCAAGTGCTCTGGGTATCGATCTTAAACTGATGGAGAAGGACAAGGATTTTGCAAAGGTGATTGAAGAAAAGGGACTGAATTTGCGTGGGGAAATCTGGGGCGGTTTGAAAAAGAAATCTTTTGCGCCAAAGAATAAGAGACGATGAGCGCAATCCGAAATGAGAGTTGTTTCCAAGACATCAACACTTGAAGATGGTCTCCTATGTATCTACAAGATTCTCAAGTGAAGAGGACTAGTCATAAGCGGAGAGGTATCATTAACACATTTAACATATCTATTTTACAGTCGTCTGCGATCGCTGTAACCGTCTCAGAGTCTTCGACCACAGTATTTGTGCATAAAGAACATGCGCCTCATAAAGCAGCCAGGGCAACATCTTGAAGTCCCGTTCTGGTTGGCCAAGAGGATACAAATTCGTGCACTCAACAGTGACATATGTTATCCTCGCCTTGTCATCCGAAATCTTTTCGACAATGAACTCCTGAAATCCACCCTCCATAGATCGCCACGGTAGGCCATACGATGCAGCTTTGTCAACTCCTTCGACCAATGCTTTTGGAAACATCCAGTACATCACAGCACCAGCTGTATCCTTAGCACCTCCATACTTGACAGCTTCTTCATTAGAACAAAATTCCGTGACCGGCTTCGGAGCATTAGAAGGTAAGTCCGATGGGCGAACATTGATCCCACGCTCCGAATCCCAGGTCCCAAGCATAAACGCTCCCATCTCGCTTGGGCGTCCAAATAAACGAGAAGAAGTGGCAAAGGATAACGGCGGCACATTTCTGTCCAAAACCGATGTTTCTAAACCTGTCGCGCGTGCATCTACAAATGCAGCAACGAGATTCTTCGATAGACTATGCAAGCCTTGCTTCTTGTAATCATTGCCATCGTCACTGAACAGCCCATATTGCGAAAGTTGCGACATAGGCACCTCTGCTTGGACTGCTACAAAGGATGGGACCCAGTAGGTCTTATCGCCGCCTGACCATGATGATAGCAGAGTTGTTTTTGTAACGCCCAATGGTGTCGGCGTGGCTTCTTCAGATGGTATTTCAACTAGGTTGCGACATGCGCTTGCCTTTGTGAGTTCTGTGATTGCAATCGTCGGGCATGACTGGTTGAGTCGTCGCTTGGTGACATAGGCGACCGCGCTGCTGACGGTTACTATGGTGAGCGCTCCTGTCAGGAGGGGTCGATGTCGGATGAAGCTTGCCATGAGAAAATAAAGAGAGGATTGGAAATGGGATGCTGAAGACAATTGTGGTGGAAGGGTTTCGTCGGTTTCAGGTAAAAGAGCAGCAGGCAACCCAGGCGATGTGGAGGTGAACAGGGGAAGTCTATTGTGAACTTGAGTTTTCAAGATTCTTTATGATAACTAGCATTACTGGACACTGACAAACAATCGGAAGTATTTAA